TTATATTTGCAAAATTCCAAAATTTATACCCTTTCTTATAGATAAATACAAATATAAACATATTGAATTTGTTACAAAATATAAAAATCAAATTTGAATAAAGTCATTTTTTCTGATGAAGTTATATTTCAAATATTTAGAAATCTCAAAAAGTATTTTACAAAGCTGGTACAAAGCTTCCACAAATGCCTATAGTAAAACATTTATATAAAGTTCATATGTTAGATATATTTTCAATCAAATATCAAATTAGCATCCTTCTTTTTACTGGAAATATAGATATTACCTTTTATCATAAAATTTTAAAGAAAAATCTCTTTGATAATACTAATTCTATTATAGGAAAGTCTTAGGTATTTTAATAAGATAACAATCCTAAGTACACAGCTAAGAAAACTAAGAAATTACTTGCAGATCATTATCTGAGATTGATGGATTAGTCATCAAATAGTCCTGACTTTAATCCTATAGAAAATTTATGGGAAATAATAAAATGTCATATAGAGAAAAAGGTTAACAACTAATGGCTAAAAAAGTCTAATTACTATAGATGTTTTTTGCAAGATAATTCAAAAAAATAGAAGGAAGTCAAGCCTAAAATCTTTGTTAATTTAATCTATAGCATGCCATCAAGATTAGAACAGATATTAAACATAATGGTGATAATATAGATTACTAAATAATTTTTAGCATTATAATCATTATATGATAAATAACTTTTTATAAATTTTTTATGTATTTTTAACCTTTATTTGTTATTCAATAAATAAAAATATAATTCTCATTATTTTTTCAAAAATGATAAATAAAGGTTTTAAAAATTAACAAATTAATTTGATTTGTTGAAACTTTAAATAATTAACTTATTTTCTGAAATATTATCAATATATATTAATATTGTTTATTTAAATTGAATTAAAGTAATATATAACTTACAATCTATAATATTTGAAATAAAATTTAGTTGAGATTAAATTATTATATAAAGTATAATTAAATAAATTAAATAATAATAACTAATAAAAATAACTTACAGACTAAAATGTTATTAACCATTAATTAAGTTTAAATTATAATATAAAGTGTTATAATAATTTACTCTCTAGTAATTAATCATTAGAAATTTAATTCATATTAAAAATATATCAATAGGAAAATTAAATGATTACATCCTATAGTATATCACCAACCATTAAATTTTATTTTTTTTTTTATAAAAAAAAATATTTTAAGAATTATAGTTTGACTTAGCAATTTATAAATATATATTACCATTTAATTCTTTTAATGTAAGAGCATCAAGTAAATCTGAAACAGGTTCTAATATATTATAAATATTTTAATTAAAATATCACTTTAAGTCTGTAAAAATAACTCATTTAGTCAATACGTTTACCATCTTTATTTATAATTGCTTTTTTGTAACTTATTTTTTTGGTTAATATATTTTTAACCCTTTTTATTATACTTTTATCATTACTATTGAACATTTTTGTAAATTTAAAAAAAAAAGTTCTATATATACATGTCGATCATTTTCAAAGTTTATACAAATTACAATCATCTTTTCAAATAAAGTTAAGCAACATGCTATCAGATTTTCATAGTTATAATATTTATTATATTATTCATCCTGCTAAAATAGTAGTAAATCTGGATTTATTACATATTAAATAAATGAAGATGAAAAATTCAAAAATTATAATTGGAAGCATTTAAAAAGCTAAACTATATACTTCCAATCAGTTACAAATGGAATGCTATTACTTAGAAAAAATTTAGAATCTGATTTCTGTTAAATCCCATAAAAGATCAATCTTATATTTCTATTTATTTGAATCAATATATGGATTCTTTGCAATAGAATGGAAGGAGAAATTATCAAAAAAGTTTTTTTTTAAGTTAATATTAAATCTGAACTTATTTTATTAAAAAAATAATATTTAACTTATAATGATAAAATAAAACAAAATTTTTTGATAGTTTTTCCTTTTTTATTGCAAAGAACTCATATGATAAATTTGCTCAATGCCATTCGACATTAATTATATATCTGATTAATTACAACAAAACATTTTTGAATAGCTATTTTCTGAAATCTTATACTGTACAACAGACTAATATCATAAAAAATTTTATTGCATTATAAATTGAGAAGCTAGACATTGATAAACATTTTCCTTTCCACTTTCATCCATTCTTGGTAGTTTTATTGAAAGTTTTTTTTTAAAATGTTTGATAAATTAATTTTGAGGATTTTTTTATCTTCAACAAAACAAATTATAAAATAAAACTTACTGTTTTTGGTAATATATTATTAGATATTATCTTTGTAAGTTATTCAAAGGAAACCATAAATATTTTAATCTTATTATTTTCACACAATATCATTAAAATCTAAATAAATACTATTAGTAATAATAATTAAAGTAATATCCATTAAATCATATATGGTATAGTTTTTATATATAGAATGTATGATTCTAATCATTTATGTATAGTTTTTTAAGCTAGTATAGTTTTTTCATATATGTATGATTATTTATCACAAAAACTATACAATATAGATTATTCAATTTTCAAAACTATTGAATATTTATATATTTAATTAGATCAATATAATTTCATTATCAGATACACAGTTTTAATATTTTAAAAAATAATCAGATTTGCATAAATAATTAAAAACTCAGAGAAAAATAAGTTATATTGGTAATTGTTTTATTTTATTCATTATATTATAATAAGTAAAATCAGGTGTTAAGTTTAAGAAAAATTTATAAAATAGTAAAATTAATTAAAATTTTTGCATTTATAAATAGAAGAATTTAATTAATCAAATTAAAAAATTTAAAAACTTTATTATTTGGTTAATTCAAAAAAAATATGTTTTTTTTATTTGCAAATTTATCATAAACTACTCTAGATAAAAGATCAATGCAGATGTATTTTTGATGTAAAGCTAAATTTCCAAATTCTGATAAATTAAATAAGATAGCTGTAACCAGTGTTATTATGGAACATTAATGGGACACTGATGGGACGCTGTTAGGACATAGATAGGACAGATAAGATATTTAAGACATAGTATAGGACAGGTTAGGATATATAGCTAAAACATATAGTTGGGACAACAAATCTCTAGAACATCAAAAATATACATCACTAGCTGTAACATAATTTTAGAAATTTATACATATATAGAAATATTTTTCATATATACTATATATTCTATACATAAAAATCCATACCTTATATGATTGTTATATATCTAAAAAAAAATAATTCCTAATATATTGATACCTATTATTGTCTCTCTTTAATTTAGCTTATAATATCAAACATTTAATGAAAAGTTAAAAGAATAATAACATTACTATTAAAATCTGTTAATGTTTCTTATAATGCTAAAAATATTTTATCCAATGTATTTTACTTGCCTTAGGGACAGCTGATATCAACTTATTTATTTTTTACTATAGAAAACACAAATATGATTAACAACTGTTAAAATAGTGAAAAGAAATGATATAGAATGCTAGAATAGATACTAAGATTATTTACAATATTCATTGGATCTATGATTGCAAGAATACGGAATGTTTAGAGATAGGTTATAAGGTCTTCACAAATACTAACATAAGTTTCAAAATATTTCTAATGTCAGTTCATTTTAAACAATATAATTTAATCATTAATATTATTTTTCGCATTCAATTTATAATCATTCTCCTTATCAATATGATTTTATATTTTGTTCTTGTTTTTTTAGTTTATTTGATTTTTAGAGATAATAAAAATTATCATCATCCTTTAAAATTGTAATATCATCAAATCTTTACAACTAAGCTTTTTATTTATATTATATTATTATTCTTGATAAGATATTCCTACTTGATTCGATATTCAGAATCAAATATGCTATTTATAAATTTGATATTTTTTTACTAAAATTTTGCCTTTATTAATACTCTAATTTATTTCATTACTTGAAATATGAAAGTTAGTTTTCGCATGATCTTATAAAAAATGAATAATTTATTTATTAGTGGTTGAATTAATTTAGATTTTAAAAGTTATAGTTGAATGATTAGAGTTTCTGTCAAAGAATTATATAAAGGTACCTGGAAGTTATTTTGAGTTGCTTTAGTATTTGAACTTCTTTGACAATATTGCTTATACTCTTTTACAAAACTAGAAGTCTCCCTATATAATATAAAATTCCTATAGGAGAAATGGTCAGAATATTCTTTTTTAAACTGCTTGGGATTGAGCTATGACATAAATTTTCAAATGCCTTTTGGTAGGGAGGACTAATTGAAACTAGTGAATGTCTACAAGTTTTCATTGTATTTTATTTTTTCATTTTTTCTATCCCAATAATGTTTTTATATCATCAAATCGTTTGACAAAAAAATAATCTAGAAATGTCTCGTTTTAAGAAAGCATTCTAAAAGAGAACATATCCATCACAAAATTGAAGATAATTTTAATTCCTTAATTTTATGCTCTTATTATTTCAGAATTCAAATGATTTCTATATTTCAAATTATTGACCTTTCAATATAACCATTCTTTTTCTTGAAAAGTCACATTATATCCTTTTGGTGTTAATTTAGTATGAACTATTAAAAAAAAGTAATTAAGAAGTTTATTAATTAAGTTTATATAAATTTTCTGCAAATTTACAAAAACTTATCAATATCATATTTTTGGGAATCGTGTTACTAAATCCTAATACCTTAAATATTTCTCTTTAATTTTTTACATGCATCACAACTAGATTTTGCAGTATTAATTACCTTTTTTATCATCTTTCTCCTTATGTTATTTGATTATAATCTTGATAACTTAAAATGTTTTTAAGTTCATATAAATCACATAGCATACTATATTTGCTTGTGATGAAATGGATAATTTTTCATAATTTGAACAATATTCAATTAATGAACTTTGTGATTTATTAACTTCCTAAACTTTGTATATATGGTAACTTCTGTATGGATAAATTAGAATTGGTATTTTTGAATTAATTTGACTCCTTTATAAAATTTGTAATTACCTTCAAATTCATGCGTTATCTTAGATTAGTTTTAGGATTGTGGTTCCAGTTCATGCCCCCCAGTCAAAATTTGCGATAAAAGATTCTTGTTTTTGGGAAATCTCATATTGTACGGTAATAAATACAAACAATGAGTAAAATGAGTGATTGTTAATATTAAAGTCAATCCTTTTACAAGACTATTAATATAATTAATATAAATTCCAATTTAAAACATACCAAGATTTCACTTGTAGTATAGGCGCATAATTAGACGGTGGATATTGGACAGAACTTGCGATAGTACATCATGGAAATAGTCATCTTCCATATTCATTCAGAAATTTTAGCATTTAATTCTTCATGGCTAGCGTTTGGTTCGTCAATTAGTTACCAAAAACTTCTAAATCTCTGTTAATATGTTATTTGTACAAGTACGCGCGTTAATAATTAAATATTTGAACAATTAAATGCAAAGCACTTATTCTAATTTTCATTTAATTGTTATTCTTCCATCATTATCGAGAACCGATAACCTTCTGTTATACAAATCTATTTAGGATGACTTATGTGCTAATGGTATTTGCGCGATTGTTAAATTAATTAAAATATTGGTTTTACGTCATTTCTCAAATTATTTTTCGTTTGATTTTGAGTGAGCAATTTTAACATAGATGTAACGGAATCATATATAATAATAAATAAACCAGGGAACGGAAACCGTTCTGGTCTAATTTCGATAATATGGCTAACAATTAAATAAGCTTTTTATGTAACAAAAAATTGGTAATAAACAAATCCACAAATTTCATTCGTCGATCAGGCTATAGAACAGAACGACATTGCATTAGAAATGCTTAGAAGTATAAAAAAGTAAATGCAAAAGTAATTCAAACGTAACACGTGTCACATACATTATTACAAAATGGTAGTAGAAAATAAACATAAAGCCATTATAGCTATAGTTACCGTTTTAGTTTCAACGGTATCAAATTTCAAAAGTCGTATAATCAAATGTTTAATCGAATAATAAACTTTAGTTTTGTTTTTTTGATATATTGATTTTCAATCCATAAACATATCAATTATTAAAATGAGAAAATAATTTAATTCAGACTGGCAACATGCGGCAGAAATTATAATTAATTTTGGCGGATCTTAATTAAAAATACACCAATAATGGATTTAAGAAGTAATAATTAAATATTTGAAACGCGAATCTATAATTTTCAAAGGTTTCGATTTTTGTTTTTTGAACCCCACAGACATCATTATTCCCAAGTAAAAGAAATTTTTATTTGTAATGAAACGCGTAACTGAAGTTTCGTCTGTTGCTGTGGTAAATCGTGGAACAAGTTCAAGTACAATTCTTTGAAATTAAAGTTACGTTAATGAAAAGTCCTACATGTTATTTATTTATCTTGTATTTAACATAACTTTTTTTAATCCATTCGAATTTTCTTGGATTTTTTTTTTTTTTTTTTTTTTTTACAAAAATAAGTTAATAAAAAGAACTTTTGAAAGCTATAATATACATATCTGACCGATATAATATATATATACTCTTTCTTTTGTTCAATATATCGACAAAGTGTGTGATAAGTCATTCTCCTATATAGTCACTCCTCTATAGTCATATCATAAAAAAAAATCTTCGTTTCAAAAAAATAATATCCGCATCACTCGTTATTAAACCATAGGAAAAAATTGATTTTTTTTTTATGAAAAGAAAAAAAATATAAAAATAAAGTTATATTAACTACATTAACTATTTTTCATAGGTAAAATTTGCCGTTGTTAGACTGAAATTGTACCGAAACCAAGCTAACAAACTAAATAACTCAATATCTCAATTATCTCGAAGGCCTTTCCTAAGAGAAATAAATGATTAACAAACAAAACAATTTATTATCACGATTCACTTGTGTAGTTGATTATCACGATCAATCCTATAATGAAGACAAGAAGAAATTTGAAAATGTAAAATAGTAACTTTATTAATTTGAAGAGTCTATAATTCTAGCCCCAGACTAATTAAATTTCTAGTTGATCAATAAAATTTTATTCCTCACTTAATTACATCATCATCATCAATAACTTTGAGAATGACATAATTAATTCCAGACCCAGTTAGTTCGCGTTTAGAGTTTGGCCGGCTAAAATGAATTATAAATTTTCTAATTTTTTTTTTTCAACCAATCACAAGGTTTGATTAAATCTTGAATTGTTCTTCCAGTAGTTTTCCTTTTGCGTCAAACTTTTTTTTAGAGCTCGCAACAACAATTCGTTTCTCAAAATATATTGTTATATTTATTGATAAATTTTTTTTTAATTTGTAATTATGGAATTTTTATATTTTTTTTTGAGTTGTATATTTTAAATGATTTGTAATACAAAAAAAAAATTTTTTTTTCTATGAAGAGATAATCTTTGTTTGGTATTATAAAACGAATGCCGCTCAAAACCCTCCCGAAGGTACATAATCACGAATTCTAATCCCGAACAATTATCATTTCGAGATCACTTTATCCATTATATAAATACATCTGCAAATTTAATATATAGAACGTATACAAAAAGAAATAAAAATTTTAGTGATTAATCAATGTTGGCAACTTAAGTGATATTCGGATCATTAAATTACTTAATTGAGTTGCTCCGAGTTGTTACACAATTTCATTTTAACACGAAAACGATTAATGTCTTGTGATTGATAAAGTCTTTCGATTGGTATGACTGCAGTTGCAATGAAAATTTACGGAGATTACCGTCGTAACTCAAATCTTTCGAGAATGACTAATTAATTTTCTGTCAATGATATAACCCATTCAAAAATAACGTTCTTTCACATGAAAATTTATTATAACTAAAATAGAAAATCAAAAAAGAATGAGAATGGTATATAAAGACCGAGTTTGCCGATTACTTATTTTATTTTTTTTTTTTATGCTTACTCAATAATCCATGAATATTTCAAGAATCCTCCTACTTATAACTCTCCTTAGTTTGCTATTTTTTCATTACTCAAATGGTGTATGTGATAATATCAACGATTTGAAGGTGAAAAATGACGGCAGTATCACAGACTACCGTACATTCTATCACATGAGCGGAGGAAATATCTCTTTCAGGCTGGCAAAGTACATAACACATTGCTTACTTTTTTTTTTCGTTTTTAATGCCTTAATGTACTGATGTGTGAAAATCCTTCATTTAGGATGCCTTGCGGCTCGTCATCTCTTGGGATTCATGTGATGCCTAAGAGTGAAAATCCGATATCGTTCGATTGGCGCACAATTACTAACAACAGTCTGAACAATGAAATAATCATCGGCAAGGACGTTATAGACAACACCATACTCCGTATGCAAGCAAAAAGTCAAGATTTTAACAATATTAGTTGCTCTACTCCCTCCTTCAGCGGTCAAATTTGCTATCCTGAGTACGTTCCTTCCGTTCCCATATCACATCAGTCTGAAAAGACTACTTCTTCTAGTGGTTGTGATGTAGCTTGTGGTTCAATTATTGGAGGTGGTCTTGGAGGAATTTCAACTATTATAGCTGCAATAATAGGAGTACGTTGTTACAGAAGGGATCCCTCACCGTAGTGACATTGTGGTATTATATATAACCAATGATAGGAATACCTTATTTTGGTCAATTTATTTCCTTCACGATAAATAAACAAATTTTATAAAGTCTCAGCAGAATTTTTAATATCGATATTTTACTGACTATCAGATAACCTCGGATTTTCGCCAAATTGATTTGACAATGTTATTACATAATAATTATCTATTTCAAAGATTTAATGTTATAAAATAAAAAGCATTAAATTTCGCATCATAAGACGTGTATTTATACATCGTAAAGTTTGACTATATTAATTTTAAATAGATAAATTATTTTAACTCGGAGTATTTTGAATTATCCACGAATGGTATGTGTGAATGGTGAAATGCTGTTGACATTGTATGTTCTTGCCAATAAAAACCTAATAAATGAAACCCGATTACGCATGGGCATCAATCAAAGTATATCTAGAAAATCCTTGAATAATTAACGCATTAGGTGTATGAAGCTTACCTTTTTATTTAAGTACTGCTACCACGAAAATTTTCTTTAATAAGATTTCATAATTATCACTGTCATTATCCCTTTCGTGAACATAATAAGTCGTTGAAGGTGTATATCGATAAAAATATACTTGGCTAAATGTATTTTAGTTCCAAAGAGCAAACCGGATCTACGACCAATCAGTAAAGTTCGTTTCACTAGTTTGGATGTTTATTCTGAAAAAAAAACCGTTAAAAAGTTGTAATAGAGAGGGAGAGCTTTCTTTTCTTTTTTGAATTTTGGGATGGAAAATTTTTAAAAAAATTGAGAATACAGATTTGTAAAATATAAACCGAACTGCATTTATATATTCAGAAATCTTAATTGATGCGAAATAAACTATGGACATTTCGTTTATCAACCACGAATTCTGTCTAATATATGCTTGCAATATTTTTTTTTCTTCAAAATAAACGAGACATTATAACAATTGCCGAAAACTGCAAAAAAAAGATATTTCCGAGTTACACCTATTCAAGAAATTTTTTGATGATATTGATGATTACTCACATAATCCTGCACACCGACAAACTAATAACGTATTATCGTATGTACCTTTTTTGTTTAAGAATCAAAGTTACGTGTCAAGATATCACAGGATTTTTGATAGTTGTTATCGTATTATGTTTATACAAGTTGTAAGACGGGCCATACAAAGTAATTTAACCTTTAGTTTGCGAGCTCTTACTAGTGCAATTGCATTGTCACGGGCATGACATGACAGGTATTTTTTTCTTTTTTTTTTCGCTTATATTGTATAATCTCATCTTTATTTTGACTTTCAGGATTAATGGGATTACTAATTCCTTTTAGTACTAAAATTTCTCGAATTTTTTTTTTACAACCACTTTTCAAGACATTATATAAATTATATGATTTCATTTTATGTATCATGCTTAATTATATTTCTTATAGTGTGTCTATCCATTGAAAAAGGTTTATTGTATATAAATACCATGTTATAAAGAACATCAGAAACAACTAAACTAAACTAACCAATTCATAGGTTAGCAAAAATAATAGACATTCTACATATTAAGGTTGGGCAACTTTATACAAGTTTATTAGCATACTATTCTTTTTGCTAAGTAAATTCTATTTCGAAGACGTAGATAATTTTTAGGAAAATATGGTTGAGATTTTTTGACAAAAATTCTAATAACCTTCAAATTATCTTGTCATTCCTAGGGATTATCCTAATTAA